TGGATGACAGTACGCAACAAGCATGGCGAGTGTACAGAGAAGCTCCAGCACCAGAAACTTGGGACAACTACGTAGCCCAACGTAACCACTGCACTCAACTACTAAGAGAAGACAAAGCCGCCTATCAGCAGAACATCGCAAAAGCCTTCAGTGCTAACCACAAACTGTTGTACAAGCGCGTTAATAGCCTACGAAAGGTGAGGCAAGGATTTCCTCCACTCAAGACGGCTGATGGCCCAACAAGAACATCTATGGAAGCTGCAAACGCGCTGCAGATGCAATACGCCCCCACGTTTCAAGGAGTCTTGCCACCAAGCGATCTACCAAGCTTTGTATTCTGCTCACCAGGACTAACCCACATCAATTTTACCGCAGAGGCTGTATTGCAAAAGCTGACCTCTCTACGCAAACGCAGCTCGCCGGGTGTCGACATCATTCGTCTAGAGGCATTGTGAGCAGCAGCAAATCAACTGGCAGGACCTTTAGCTCAGTTTTTCCAGCACTGCTTAGACCAGAACCAAGTTCCCGCCATGTGGAAGCTTGGAATAATAAGCCCGATTCACAAAGGTGGAAGCAGAACTGATCCTTCCAACTACCGCCCAGTAACCCTTCTTCCTATACTCTCCAAAGTCATGCAATCCATAGTTGCCGATGCACTGGTGTGCTATCTGGAAAACTGCAACCTCATCACCCATGAACAGCGCGGCTTCCGTCGACAGCGGTCATGTACAACTAATTTACTAATTGCACGCAATAGTTGGACCGAGGCAGCCGACGCTGGAGAAGGTGTTGATGTGATCTACCTGGATTTTTCCAAGGCTTTCGATCGTCTAGACCATCGGATACTACTATCCAAGATGCAGCGTTACGGGATCGGAGACCCTCTTTTAAGCTGGATCGCCAACTTTCTATTTCAACAGTAATTAGTGGTCAGAGTTTGGAGCTCTTTATCGGACCCCATACAAGTCGAGTGTGGTGTGCCGCAAGGCTCGGTTCTAAGTCCACGTTTCTTTTTGGTGTTTATTAATGACGTTGCACAGGGAATCGCTTCAAATTTCCTAATGTTTGCCGACGATATCATGATCTAGCGCAGGATCCAGGCGAACGCCGACCGACATGTGCTTCAGAGTGATTTAGATACGGTGTATCGATGGTCGACCCAAAACTTATTGCATTTCAACGCCAGTAAATGCAAGGTGCTTTCCATTCGACATCAAAGCAGCTACTCATACCGACTTGGAACGGATGTACTGCAACTATCAACTCTCGAACGTGACTTGGGTGTCCTGGTTCAAGATGACTTGGGTTGTTCCAGGCAATCCGAAAAGGCCTCGAAGACCGGGAACCAACACGTTGAGCTGTTGCGAAAGGGCGTTTGGACAAATAAACAGCTCCATATTTCGACAAATGCTTAGTGCGTATGTTCGCCCCCATGTCGAATATGCAATTCAAGCCTGGCATCCATGGCTGAAACACGACCTTAATGCACTGAAGCAGCCACAAAGTCGGGTATCTAAGACCCTAATTGGAATGCGCAACCTTTCCTACCAGGAAAGACTGCGACGACTGGGATTGTTCAGTGGAAGCTATCGCAGGCTACGAGGCGACCTGATTATGGCATACTTGTTTCTGCGAGACCCACATCATGTGTGCCGCCCTTTACTGCAACTCAGCAGCAATACAAACCTGAGGGGCCACTCATTAAAACTGGCAGAAAAATACAGTGGTCTGAAGTGCCGGAAAAATTTCTTTTCCATCCGTGTCTGTCACCTGTGGAATGCTCTCCCAGAATCGGTCGTCTCTGCACCAACACTAACAGTATTTAAAAGACGGTTGGACGATGCACTCATCCACTTACACTTGTAACTTAACACTACGTCCCCATCCTACACCTGGAGTTTACCATGGAATTGTTTGTTATTAACTGTGGATGCTGTGAATCTAAGAGGATCGCAAGACTGCAGCGAAGCAAAAGATAAGTCTTTATTTTCATATTTAAAGTATTAACTATTTTAGCAACCTTATCATCATTATTGTTATGTTGATATCCCTACCAAGTATCCAACGGGACTTGTAAGGGAACGCTACTTAACTCGTATAAATTCATTGTTCATGGTTCAAATGCCATGAACACTAAGGAAGCTTAAGAGCTACTGCCAGTTGCTTTTGTACATAAAGTGTAGGACGGCAACAATTACGAGTCACGGTCTCGGCAAACTTCAGCACCGTGGCGTTACCATTTCGGTAGACAAATGTAAAATTTGAGTCGGGATCAACTTGATGACCTGTACTGATTAAGTGTCAGGCGATGGTTGACGCCGGCAGTTTGCCTGCTGCTCCTTGTCCGGTTGATTGTTGTGCCATCAGCAGAGCAATTCGCGTCAAAATATGCTCTCCAATCCGTTTACTCAGACAACCAAATGTTCTGACTATGTAACTACTTAGGCAGCTACAGACGAATTGATAACAGCAAAGAGTTGTGGCGGAGACTGATTGATTAGGTTAGCTTGGAGGCATCGTCAGCTTTCTGGTTGTCCAGGTAGGACAAAATTTGGTAGCGCTGAAGGTATGGCGAATAGCTGTGTTTGCCCGCCTTTCAAGTTGCTCTGTCACCACATTGCCATTGAACGGTAGCTGTAAGTAAACGGGCATTTTGGGCATAATAAGTACTCTTGGTATTTTTCCTTCGGATGACTGTGAAATCTGATGAATGCTTCTGGGTATCCACTGGCTTGTTATCTCTGTGTGATGAACGCTAGCTCCGACTCCACACAGTCGGCATTGCATATGCTACGGGCTTGATCAAACAGCGTCCTGACAAGTCAACGCTTGTATTTGACCGACGGGAAACTGTTGAAGTTTTCATACAGGCCAGTCCATGTGGATTTCCAGTAGACAGAGCGTTTTATTGTGTCATCGTCTAGTCTTGTCAATGATACATCCAGGAAGGCATGACGGACGTTGGGATGTGCGTTGTTGAACAAACTGAGAAGAGATTGAACAGTCTGTACACTTGGGGCAATCACTAAGGTGTCATCTACATGGTTGACGGCATCCGGTTTCGGATTTGCCTGTCACTGTGGCCAGTCACAGGACGCCTGTGCATACAGAGGAATCATGGGTGGCTTGCGCTGCACCACCCACAGCTCCATCCACACACCCCATATCCAGTGTAAACCTGAAGGAATAAGACCGGGAGGCATGTGGATGGGAGCCAAGTTTCATCAACGGAGCCGACCCACAATCCTTCACAGGCATACACAAGCACGCCGTATTTGGGGAATCAAACGCACACAAGGCGGTGGCTGGACCGTGGTCTTTACTACACTGAGTGCATGGAACCACTCTTCGGGCCTAGTACGACCACAAGGACTGTGCACCCCCGTCCCCTCCAGCAACGACCAACTGTCCCATGGATCCAGTGTAACCGAGGTAATGGGTAATAGACAGGTAGGCAGATTGGCAACATGCACATCAAGCGCAGCCACACCGGGGATATCAAACAACAGCCAATCACTTAAAACGACAAGATAAAATAAAATAAATTGAATAATGCATACAGATACGGTGACATAACTCTACGCTAAATTAGCATATGAAGAAAGCTGGTTAGCCAAGAATCCGCGATAAGTCCAAAAGTTACTCAAAATGCTACAAAGGCAAGAAATTTAACGAAGATAACCATAAGTAGCGTAAGCAACGTGGCCAGTTAATAGAAGATTATTAGGGTAGGCAGAACGAACCAGATAAAGTGGGATGAAATTTACTCAACTTAAAAAGGCCTAGTTTAAGTGTAAGTTGGTTTAGCCCAACTGCGGTGAAGAAGCAGCATGAATGCGACATCAGCCTGTATAGGCACATCTGGTTTAGATAGGGTTCACACCTTGATTCGACCATTTGCACCAGCAAGTTTAGGTAAAACAGGCTGGACCCAAAACTGCCTCTAAAGACGGCGGTGAGGCATTGTCACAGCTTGCAAGTGAGGATGATAGCACGATCAATCAGTTCGATCGGACAAATTCGGGAATTTCGCCTGGTCCGGTACTGACTGATATCTTTATGGAACCACAATGAGGTGGCGGCGGCGCAAATTGAAAGGCGGGCAAACACAGCTATTCGCCATACCTTCAGCGCTACCAAATTTTGTCCTACCTGGACAACCAGAAGGCTGACGATGCCTCCAAGCTAACCTAATCAATCAGTCTCCGCCACAACTCTTTGCTGTTATCAATTCGTCTGTAGCTGCCTAAGTAGTTACATAGTCAGAACATTTGGTTGTCTGAGTAAACGGATTGGAGAGCATATTTTGACGCGAATTGCTCTGCTGATGGCACAACAATCAACCGGACAAGGAGCAGCAGGCAAACTGCCGGCGTCAACCATCGCCTGACACTTAATCAGTACAGGTCATCAAGTTGATCCCGACTCAAATTTTACATTTGTCTACCGAAATGGTAACGCCACGGTGCTGAAGTTTGCCGAGACCGTGACTCGTAATTGTTGCCGTCCTACACTTTATGTACAAAAGCAACTGGCAGTAGCTCTTAAGCTTCCTTAGTGTTCATGACATTTGCCTCAGTGCAGCCATCTGTTGTTTTGCTTTTGTGTGCCTTTTTATTTGATCAATTCAAAACAATCGTTTCTTCCCCTCACCTGATCCATGTAGGTTTTTAGTTTGCAAGTGATCAAACACCACAGAATATTACCATATTTCAGTGCTAGCCTTCTTAGTATTTTGTTCAAAAAATGCTTTGTTGATAATTAGATGCAGCCCGATATGAAACTGCACCTCTTTATAATTTAAGGCATTTATACGGAAAGGATGCTATATTTACGACTTGTGATGTACCTGTGTCCAAACTAGGGTCTAACAAATGATTTATGCATCTTTTTGCATTAAAACGCGCATAAAACTAAAAACAACTGTGACCATCATGAGCGCATTTCTTTTCCATGTGAGTATACGATTCACTGGCTGATGGTTGCAGATTATTGCTTACCATGGTAGACATTTACTCTCTGCGACGGATTTTGACAACGGGTTGCACCGTGCTGGTAAGGTTTCACGATAATCGTCCACTGATCGCCTTCACCGAACTGTGCCAAAGGATAAAGTTGAATGGAACTATTGGACAGCCATTCAAAGTGTAGATAGAATGAAATATGCATTTAAGGTGTTTGAAAGTGATGGCTAACATGTGTATCCACACAGTGCAGTGTAGAGGTAATGAACCACTACAAAATCATATATATATATATATGGCAACAAATCAGAAATACCCATTAGGTAGCGTACTAACTCGATTTGTTCAGCGTCGCAATCTTGATGAAATAACATCACATCATGTCGGTACATTCCGTGCCTCAATTTGCTTCTTAAGGCCGGTTTAGTTTGCTCTCTACAAATGGTTGCTTATATTAATACCGTTAGAGGAAACACTACTGTCATGGTGGATAGTGTACAGCGTGAATAAATGTATCGTACTAGTTTTGAACTAGCGACGAATAGTCTGGGCACGTTTTCCTGCATTATGGCGGTAAGATGGATAAACAAACTGGGGAAAATTGGCACAATCAGAGTCAAACGTTGGGAAACGATTACCTGTTTTGGATCCACGTCAAGTACTATGACAAATCGGCCCTCACCCTTCGGACCATCAACTGTAAGCTCTTTCTCACCAGTCTGTTCAATAACCTCACTTGGTGGACGCACGAAGTAGCCATCTTCTACCTGACTGCAGTCGCGACCAGTGAAGCCAGTTTTGCACTCACACTGACCACTGACGCGGTCGCAAGCGGCACTTTTTGCTCCCAGTTGACTGCATGCGCATTCCTGACAGCCGAGGGGTGCAAGAGTCAGGTTGAAGTAGCCTTCCTGAAAATCGAGGCGGTGAGAGAGCGAAAGAAGAACGTGTAACATCAAGCCAGTGCCAGAGAGCTTAGTTTTAGAGTAAAGTGGTGTCAGAGGCGGTAAAGGAGTAGCAAAGAAAGTGAACTTCGTTGCTCAGTGTTATTTCAAAGAAATCCCATCTGAGATGTAGTAAAATCTAACCAATTACGGTTTATCTTTCGGCAAAGTTGTGTAATCACAAGAAGAAAACTAGCACATCTTGAGATGGTGACGTTATTCTTCAAGGGCAATACGACGGTAAGGAAGCTAACAGTAATAGACGTGATCAAGACCCACTTGAGTTGTATTAACATAATGACTAAAATAGTGAATGGGCTGGATGTATACAAGTTTAATTGTCACCAATAGAAAACGATAGTAAGGATAGAGATGACCTCAGTAGGGAATTCGCTGAGAGGCAAGCTAGGGGACAAGAAGAGTAAAGTGGATGGTACACATAGCACGGGTTCCGTGGTGTGAGCTTGATGTGTGACATGCTCGCTCCCGCATCTTTTTCATGCTCCAACGGCGAGTGATGAATTGGTTGACACCAAATCGGTGCATTTTTAGTGGAAAGTGCACTTTATCCAAGTAAAGACTACCGATCGGAAAATTTGCTGATTTTGACTCATTGGCAAACTTCAATCGACTGACCCGAAAGCTCATGTTGGGACCGTCTCTACAGCTGTTTTCGCATAACGGCTACTACTGTTAGTTGTAGGGGGGGAACTGCATCATGTAGTCTAGTTAACAGAATACGAACAGAAGGTTTTGAATACAAACCGATTTCTATTCAAAACCTTCTGAAATCATGAGTTTCCAGTCGGTTCCAAGCATATTCCGGGATATCGAAGGCTAGATATGCATTGTGAATGGTCTTCATGAAAGTGGAAAAACCTTCACCGTCTATTAGGTTCATTTCTAAAACAGGAGAGGGATGCAGGGGCGCTAGCTTAATGATTGATCAATACTCACCACACCAGATTGTTGGTTTTATACTGTTTTCAATATCAGACAGATCTTTTGAGGATAGCACTGCCTCTAGGGTGATCCGTATGCTGTTTTCGACATGACATCGTTTCGTCTGTGTCTTTCATGGATCATGCGATTAATAGAGCGGTGCTCGCAGCTAGGTAGTTGCTCAAGTAGATACCATGGCATAACGGTTAACTCCCGTTATGCGCACTAAAATTCGCAACGTTCCTTTTGCTTTCTGATTCGTCAGCATTTGGATATCTTTTATTTTTATCTTCATCATTCGCAAATAATGCCCATAAACGATATAGTCAAGATAGGAACTCAAGATTGCGAAGAGAGATATTTTCAATACTTCTCATCTGGCAAATAGTTATAAGAATGCAAATACAACGCAACGGAATCAGCCGGTGAAGGTCGGACTGAAAGTAGGTGACTGGGGAGCATTCGAAGGACGCTGCCATATTCGATCGATATTCTTGTCGATCAACTGAAGACAGGCGTTACAGCAGCCGACGGCGCGAAGAAGATCGCGTTTGGCCGCCGCCATTTTCTGACGCCGAGAAGTTGGCGCTTGATTATGGCAAGATAAGTGCTTGTAAATGAGCCTTTTGTTTGCACAACTCCGGCTGCATAACTCCGATGGCAATAGCCTGAGTCTCTCTCAGGAGGCGTTTTCTAATCATTTTGGGGTACCAGTTTGGCACATTCTAGGAAGCGTTGGAGGAGTCAGCTGGTCGGATTTCATGTCCACTTTGGAACAAGTGCTCCATTATGGCGCAGCTAAATCTTCCGACGACGGCCCTGCTTAGCGACCTTGGGAAGTGCTCAGCGATTGTTTTTGACAGTCGTCATTCAGTTAATCAGAAAGCACGTCCTTCTGTGTAGGCGTCCAAAAACTGTTATCATTGTTCCTAAGAAGGATGTCTTTCGCACTATGCCGTTCAAAGGAGACGTCGCCTTCGATGTATTCAACAGAAGACTCTCGACTGCAATAGCCAAAGCCTACCCAGCCTAGCGAAGTATTGTATCCAGCGTACATAAGTGTTGTAGCACAGACTACCCCGCTTATTGGTCAAAACCTTAAAGACAGACTACCGGTCCAGTCGAAGTCCTATGTTCTGTATCAGTTCAGCTGCACGTGTGCTGCAAGGTACATTCGATATACGACCATGCGTCTGTCAAAACGAATCGCTGAGCACTTCCCAAGGTCGCTAAGCAGGGCCGTCGTCGGAAGATTTAGCTGCGCCATCATGGAGCACTTGTTCCAAAATGGACATGAAATCCGACCAGCTGACTCCTCCAACGCTTCCTAGAATGTGCCAAACTGGTACCCCAAAATGATTAGAAAACGCCTCCTGAGAGAGACTCAGGCTATTGCCATCGGAGTTATGCAGCCGGAGTTGTGCAAACAAAAGGCTCATTTACAAGCACTTATCTTGCCATAATCAAGCGCCAACTCCTCGGCGTCAGAAAATGGCGGCGGCCAAACGCGATCTTCTTCGCACCATCGGCTGCTGTAATGCCTCCCGTAAACGACAGATCGCCTGACGAAAATAAGGCGTCATGCAGAGGCAGACGCGACGCTCGCGACGTTTCAAGACGTGATTTCGAGAGGATGGCCAGGTACAAAGAAAAAACTCCCTCAGGAAGTAACACCATTTTTTTAACTTTCAGGACTAACTCACGGTGTATGACGGTTTGCTGTCTAAAAGAAATAGCATTTTGATCCTGCCATCCCTCCACAAAGAGATGCTGGTACACGCTTTTTAAGGCAACTTTGGCGGTAGCTTAAACATTAGCATAGCACCAAAACTGATGTTCTGGTTCAAGATGACGAAACAGAAACAAGGTCAAATGTTAAGTTGTTTGGCCTGCGGGTCCCAGGAGGTTCGCTAAGCCTGGGAACTAGCGATGCTGCGTGATGCTCCAGATCGACCGTAGCAGAAAGCAGCGGTGAACTTTTCCTGTGACAACGGAGACTATTTAATCATAGTGGATTGCTACAGAAACTACTTTGAGATCGATGCACTCAACACTACCACCACGGAAGAAGTCATCAATAAGATTAGATGTAAGTTTGCCCAGCGCAGAATACCGACAATGGCCCATAGTTTACAAGCGCTGCGTTCCAGAGCTTTGCAAATAAGTGGGAATTTTCGCATCTACAAATCAGCGCGTATCACAGTCAGTCTAATGGAAAAGCAGAGGCAGTGATCAATCAAGTCAAGAGGCTGTTGTTAAAGAATAGATCTACCCACAAGGACCCGTATCTGATTCGCAAAACATTATAATCACATTGGTGTCAGTCTAGTGCAACATATGTACAACAAATGAGCAAGAACCTTAGTGTCTGCGTCAGCTGAACGTCAACGCAGGAGCAACTGCAGAGGAGTTTAAGAAAAAAGAATGCAAACCAAAAACGATATTACGACCGCGGGACCCGAACGCTACCCGAACTATCAGTGAACGAGGAAGTGTGGAGTCAGCCAATAGCAGGGGTCAACCAGCGATGGAAGAAAGGTGTAGTGGCCGCGAAAGTCGGATAAAGATCTTATGAAGTCAATACTGGAGAGAAGATAACCAGAAGGGAACAAGTGCAGCTGAGGCGAGGTGAACGTAAAGCGAGACAAACCGCGGCTTACGTTGAAGTCATAACGACAAGGGCAGCAAAGACCACGCGGAGCGGAAAAGCTTACAGAGTCGACAGCAGCACCGATGCAGCGGATTAGGTAAAAGCGAAGGATATGATGGGATTTTGCAATCAGTGGAACGAGACGGATTTACTGGACGAAGCAAGCGAACGGAACAGATAATTGGACATATACGCATCCCCGCATCCCCGCTTCTACGCTGACTGTTAAATATTTGGCTGCACAGAAGTGAGTTTGTCTGACTGAAGCAAAGAAAGGATCTGATGAATACAAAGCGTCGTTAGTCATGAAAGCGACCTAGTTGCCTACATCGAGGTATCTACAGGCTAGTTTTGCTGTCATCTTAGCCGAGATTGCTTTATCGAATAAGCCGTTTGTCCCTGAAAGGCCGAGTCCTGGGACATACTGCCACCGAAGTATCTAGATTTCTCAACCTGTGGGTAGCTTCTATTCAGGTGATAAGTGTCGATAAGCATTCATCTACATCGGTGTTATCAATAAACAGATTGTGACGCTACTCTGCAGTCAGCCTACCCTTTCAGACCTGCGGGAAAGCAGAGAGAAGTTTGATAGCAACGCAAGCGATTGGCATCGAGTTTGCTCTTCAGTTTTTCCCGCGTGGGGTCTCAAGAGAACATGGTTCAGGTAATCGTATCTTTATAAAATAATAATAACTTTCGGCAGGGTCTTGCGTCCTGCCGGCCAACTACGGGTGTGGTGTTGGTTTTCAGGAGGGTGTTCTACTCAGTTAATGGCGCCGATTCGCTCTGCATACTTAGGCAGAATGAGGTTTCCACGAAAAATGCAAGCAATTTACTTGCCATGTGCTGGAGCAGTACAGAACGCGTCAGGGTATGCGGTTAATTATCGACCATAGCTTTGGCAACAAGTGGATTTCACCTGGGTTATCTAGTCTCTCATACCTATTGAATGTCGTCGTAGACTCCATTATAATTTAGGCTCTCGGTCTGAGAAATCGGTTGAGTTTCATTGCCAGAGCTATAAGTAGCTTTGTGAGTCAGCAACATCTTTGGCGGTAGAAGAGGATGTTCTGAGGAACATAGGACCTCTATGGTGTGTGAGTTAACAGTTTAGGGTCAGCCGTTTCAAGTTCCTTTAGTTTTCTTGAGGTTAGCATCTAAAGAGCATTGGTTATGTCAGGTGGAGCTGGTGTGTTGGTAACGATAGGCTGCATGAACAAGAAGCATCAGGCTTTGATGAATCTTTTCGTTCTTATAAGCAACAAATAGAACGGACTAAGTTGGATTGGCTCGGACATTTACTACCTCTCATCTCTCACCGCTCACGAACAAAAATTAGTTTCGCTAAGCTGATGTTGGGTGGTTCTAGGCTCCA